AACCTAAATGATTCTGTGATTCTATCTTTGTGTAAATAAAAATATAATAAAGTAGACAGCTGGGGAAATAATTACTTTTAGAGAAAGCCTGGAGTGCTTGTTTAGAACCTGAGTGTAGCTTCACGCTTCTGTAAAACCTGTTAAATAGGGAAATGACCTTCTAAAGCACAATTTCAGGCATCTTAATTCTATAAGTATATAGCAAGGCTCTCACTTCCATTTAGGTATCTAAATCTCAGAGAATACCACGTCTGTTTTCATTGTTCCTTTCTCTTAAAACTTGCGATAAAATATAATCCTTTGAAATATACCCTTGTGATTGAGTCTTGCAGAGTATGTTGCTAGCAGAAATATGTTTTTTCTAGGAGTGATCAAAATAGTAGAAGGAATATTCCAGTACATTTTTAGAATATTTTGAGGAGCCTGATCCTGTAAACTGTTGTAGTCTTCCATCACTTCAGGCTTTTTTTACCTTCTCAGATGCCTAGTTCTTCAGCAAGCAGCAAGTCAGAGAGGGGATGCAGGTGGGGGCCACCCTTAAGCATTTACTTCTGGTTAGTTACTGGAGAGGAAACGAGGGCCCACTGTAATCGTGGGTGTAGCCAACTAATACACACAGCGAATTGTCTTCTTTCATCCTGCCCCCTTCACCATCACACTCCCTAAAAAAAGAAAAAAAGGAGAAAAAAAAAAAAGGTTGGCCTTGATGCTGAGAATTTCCCAGCAAAACGCTGTGGACTGACATAGCTGAGTTGATTGCTTTTGTGTAGCTAAAAACAGATGGATATTGGATGCACGCATATAAACTATTTTTGAAGTGGCTTTCCATGTGACTAATTGACTTTCCTTTGTTTGTTTAGGTTGCTTTTGTTGTCCTGTTGTAACTTTATGAGCTTGCCAATATCTGAGAGTGATCATTCATGTGAAAGGAAGAGGAAAAATCATTGCACTTTTTTAAAGCATGCTGTGTTTGTAGCTTAGGTGAGAGAAAGACAGAGAGCAGCTTTCTTTAATGTTGAAAGGCATATGGTGTCTGATGCTCTTGATCAAAATCTGCATGTCTTATATTCAGCATGCCTAGTTTAAATGTCTGTAGCTAGCCAAGACTAGAAGCCCGTTAACCTGGAGATCAGAAACAGATAGCAGACTTATAAATCCACCTCAGTCTTGTAGTTGAAAGATGGTGATATACCTATAGCATTTATTTCATGCTCATAAAAAGGTGAAATACTTGGTAAGAAAAATAAAAACAGAAGAAATCTATTTTTCGGAAAGGAGTTACTGAAAACAACGTAGAAAATTTGGGACATACTGAAATTAGAATGGCAGGGGAAAACCACACAGTGGAGATGGTGAAATTTCTAAGCCAGTTCTTTGAAATCAAGAAATTAATATGAGAACCCAGTGGTTTTGTGCCCCTTTTTCAGTCTTTCACCCATGTAAATTGAAATAGGTCATCCCTTATTGAGACTTCTCTGCAAGTTAGCTGTTACCACATCCATTTGTATAACCTACCTGGGCTTGAAAGCTTCATTATGAAATCTCCCTTGTGTTTCTGGAGGCCAAATATTTTGGGGATAAAGGAACAGGAGGTTCATTCTTGTTTGTGTAGAGACTTAACTTTCTCCTAGTAGAATCAGGTTTGTGGCATACAAGATTTTTATCAATAAATTTTTTAGCAACTTCTTAATACCCTATTGAGAAAGATCGTACTGTCTTCCTTTTCGCTTTGAGTTCACTTTCAAAATTGTAGTAGGCAACCTATTATAAAATGAACTATTACAGACTTGGTCTCTGAAATCAGGTGAAGGAAAGAAGTTGCTAACTTCACACAAAAGGCTCTTCCAGCATATGCAATGCCATGAAAAAGATGCTAAACCACTTGTGTATGAAGGTGACAAAAAGTCACTGCATGTTTGAATATTTAAAGATCAATTACTCATTAGTAGTGAATTTCAAGTAGATCAGATTAACAAACCTTAGACCTTGCCACAGCTGGGCACTGAGTTAGGAAGCCTTTCAAAAGCAACAGTAGCAGTAGCTGAGCGTACATTTTTTGGCCTATTGCCTGTGTATCATTCAGAATTAAGAGTGATCCCCGAAAATTCTTGACACATTAAGCCACCAAGTGCATTTGATAGTCAACTGCAGTGTTCTCTCCTATCGTCCAAGACTGATTAAATCCTGAGGATTTTAGGCAGCTATATGAATTTAAAGCACTATGACGGATAACGATGTTTAGCCCAATAGTTTGGGGGTGCTTTGTGAGCGTAGGGGTGCTTGTGTTGCCATCCCAGTACACACCGGTACCACGGGTCTTTTGTGGAGGCCTTACAGATAGCTGTACAGCCGGCGGCATTGGTAGTGCAGAGCATGGCATGGCATGAGCTTGCCATGCTGAACAGCTGCGCGCATTGGCTGAGATGGCAGCCTCATCAGCAAAGCCATGTGGCTTTCACCTCTCCACCAGTGCTGCTGTCACACAGAAGACCAAAACTGGGTCCTCTTCTTCTCTGGGTGTTAGATCCTGAAAGGCAATGTCCTGGCCACTGTCTGCCAGAAGGAGATAAAACTTCGAAGACAAAAACTATCAACAGTCAGCTGAACATGAGTTGCCTGTCAACTGTCTCTGTCCTGTCCTTTGTGAAAACAGACAGCTCTGTGCGCAACTCCTGTAGAAGTGGCTTTTCCGTTCACAGCACTACTTTAACAACAGACCAAAAAACTCAGCAGTCAGTGCGGACAATTCCAGGTCAGTTAACACTTGGTAGTTCCCTGTGAACAACATGAAAGTTAGTCCACAGTGAGCCTCTGAGTAAGGTGTCTCCTGGGTGGGAGAATCCCAAGGAACTCTATCGTTTCCACATCCATATGAACAGAGTGCATTTTGAGCTAATTTGAGCTTCTTTCAAAATAAAAATTGATTTGTTGATGGCAGCGTGGAGCAAGCATGTTTGGAGTGTTATTCGGCTGTCAAAATACAGTATTGCTGATGGGGATTCTTTTTCCATTCCTGTGCAAAAGGAGGAGCTCCAGTCTGGCATCTTGCTAGTTTTCTCACTGCATTGCTAATGTTGACTTTTTTTGGGTTTTTTTAGCATTTCTGATTTCTTACTTGTTGGGATATTCCAGAGTCCCTGATTCTTTCTTTTTTATTTAAAAGGGAGGGAGGGAGGGACGGAGATGGAGAAACAGGTAATTTCTTGTCCTTATAGTGTTTCTGAATAAAATGTTCTCTCTTGTTATCTTGAAATCATTTTGTTGCTGACACATCATTACAATTTTCTTCACTTAGCGATGATAAGGTAGTAGAAGAACAACCAGAGGAAGATGAGGAGCTAACGGTTGTGGAAGATGAAGATGCTGATGACGATGATGATGATGGTGATGAAATTGAAGAAGAGACAGAGGAAGAGTATGAGGAGGCAACTGAAAGAACTACCAGTATTGCAACCACTACCACCACAACTACAGAGTCTGTGGAAGAGGTTGTCAGAGGTAAATTCATGGGCATTTAGTTTGGGGCTGGAAAACTGATCCTGCTGCTTTGCATGTTTGCCCTTTACGACAAAAAATGTTCCAAACAGCAAAATGTCCTAAGTTGCAGCATTGTTATGCTTTGGCTTCTGTAATTTGCATGTTGAATCCCCTCCCTTTTCCCATTCCCATTACAAATATTCTTTGGAGGTGTCTGTCTGAAGTGTGGTCGTTGTGTATGATGTAGATGGAAGCAGAAAGGTTGGTTTTATTTTAAAGTAACATTAAATAAAATTTGACTGCCATATGTAGCAAATAACACAGGAAAAGTAAGTGTGTGGGTTATCATGTGCATGTGTTGCAGAAGGGTAGGGAGTGTCAATTCAAAGCAGGAGGTAGCACTACCTGGTTTGGTCTCTTATATTAACAGCAGTGATTAGTCATTTTGTGTGATTTCTGTTAGATACCTGTTTCCAGTATTTCTCCATGAACTAGTAATTCAGTAAAATTAGGTGAATTTAGAAATAACTATGCAGAAAAGTGAACCTAACTAATGAGTTGTATTGGGAGGGAATAGGAAAGCATTGCCCAAAAAAGAAAACGTGGAGTGAGAAAGAACTCTTCATTTCTAAAATTTGTTTTTCATGATATTTTGTAGTTATTAACATAACTGCATTTTAAACTTTGAATTTTACCGTAGTCCCTGGACAACATAGCAACATAATGTTTTTAAATGCCACGTTTCTCCTACGATACATATTTGCATGAATTATCCTTATATTTCTATTTTAATAAGTACAATTCCATATGGTGTAAATCTCGGTAAGATAGTTGCCGATTTTTCTACAGTGCTTACATATTTACCAATAAGGAGTCGAGATGATGGCAGAAAATGAGATTAAAAGCTACAGTTGAAAAGAAAGGAGTTGGGACATGCAGGAGGCAGAGGAGAAATGGCAGCGATTGGGCCGGTTGTGAAATGAGGCAGAAAACATCTGGCCTGGCTCCTTTCCTCTCCCCTTGCTTTCCTACCCCCTGCCTCTGGGAATGCTTGGGACTGAAGTGCCAGCGGAGTACCCCGTTTTGCATGGGGCAGTGTCCTTTTCTCTTGAACCACAGTGCCAATGTTTGGCAGAGCAGGTAGGGAGCAGAGGACTGCCAGCTACGATTCATCACACACGCCGGGGACAGGAGGGTGCCCAGGGATGCTTTGGAAAGAAATAGAGTTACTTCATTTAGGTTTTTCTGTTTGGTCTACGTGCAGATAAGCTTGCTAATCAAAAGTGCTAATGCTTTGCCAAAATCACTTGCTTGCAAATGTTTCTTTCTCAGGCTGGCAACCCAGTCTTGTGTGTTTCTGTCTTATATAACTGCGCTGAGTGTTTTGCTCAGTTATTGGAGAGCCATTTCAGTGGGGAGGGGGAGAGATTATGTTTAAATCTTTAAACCAATTAAAAGTCTTTCCATATGTGAGCTTTCACCACCTGGGGATAAAACGCCCTGTTCTCGCTGGTAAATGAATATTGAGAGAGGAAAAAAAAGAACACTTGACTTTAATGGGATTTTGGATGAGTGGAAATGAGGACAAATTAGGTAGAGCGTGTTTCTTTACTGAGGTTGACATTTCAAAGAGGTTAAGATGTTCAGCCTTCAGGAAAATAGCGTGTGATAATACGAATGTAAAATACAAAAGAGATGAGGCAAACTATTGAAGCCACCTTTTAAAAATCCTTTAGAAATGTATACACTTGCTAGCTGACAATGAAACACTATTGCCCTGTTTTTCCCAAGTCTAAAATTTCCCACCTTGGGTGACTATGAGTAAAATATGTGTTGTTGCAAATGAGGTGAGGGTAATCCGTTACCAATACAAGTTTTCAGTGCAGTTCTGCCACAGCCCTTTGGCCTTTCTGACCTCCAGCCCTCCTGGAGCACAGAGGGTGCAGAGACTGTCCCTGAGTGTGTGTGTAACTGGTGTCTGACAGAGCTGCACCATGCAAAGTGCTTGCTCATTTCTAAATGTAGAAGCGCGCAAATAACTTAGAGCCTTGGCCCTTGCTTCTACTTCCCTTGCTGCACTTAAGCGAAAGCTGCCTTCAGGGCCCCCACCCTCCTGATAGGGCCAGCAGATCTGACATAGGAGCTTCTGTGGTGAGCATCTGCTGTTGTCTAGCTGTTGCAAACAGAAAAGAAAAGTTTGTCAAAGTCAGTGCAAATGAAAAAGGCAGAGGTGCCTTCTAGGCAATGTACATATTAAGAAGGTCCATGCTATGGAGACAACTTGAAAGCCTTTCCAGATGGGGTTAAGTGTCGGAGCTGTGTTCTTATGGACATGAATTCTGCTCAGACTTCTTTTCCCAAGCGTTACTAAGCACAGTTCATAAAATGTATGCTGGGATGCTCTTCACAGACACTTTACAGCCAGTTTTATGTATGCTTTATGAAGCTGTAACTAATATTATGTCATTAGCATTAAAGAGCATAGAGAGTGGGTTTGTCCAATTTGAGAGGAGTTGCCTTTCGTATGTGAAATCAACAAAGAGCAACTGTTCTAAAACCATAAATTAGGATCTAATTGTGGGCTGGTGCTGAGCCCTTTCTCCCCCAAATCAATGGAATGATTGCCGTCAACCATAAATAATTGAAAAGCATAAATGTAATGTTATACTTTAAAGACACTTGAGCTATTGTAGAATCAATTTGTCAGGCAATTTTATTTCTATGCATATTTTAATGAACTGTGATCAAAATAGCAATAGCAGAACTACTTGCAAACTTATTTCCAGTGAAAAGGAAGTTAGTCTTGCCTAGAGAATGGGAGAGGTCATTGGCAGGAGGACAGTCTTTTCATTCAGTTTCTGCAGCAACCGTATTTTTGTAAGCTATAGTGTTTATTCAAAAATGTGAATCAGTTTTTCCTAGCACGGTACTTGCCAGTATTCACTTTCCTGCCTTTTGTGAAGGACCATCTCTACTCTCAGTTCATATGGAGTAGGGCAGCAAACCCAGTTTAAACTTTCAGGTATGCTTTTGCTGGAGTTCAGATGTTAAATCCAGCCGATTGTGGGTCTGAGGTTGCAGGGATCCAAAGAATGAAATTAATGTCTGGTCGACGTTTTTCACCTTTGGTCACTGGGAGGTGTTATCACTGAATTTGTGCTGAAGAAAGTGTGGCTCATTTTTGAAGCCCTGCAGGAAAACTGTGGCTCTTGATTTTTGTCTCTATATAGAGCAAGGGAGGTGACTCTCTACTGGCCAGGATTTAAGCAAGGGAGCGGTTTGATTTCTGCTGTCATCATTGCAGCATCTCGGGTGTTGCAGAGCTGCTCCCGAGGCATCCAGGCCCCAGATGATTCTTCCAACATGTGACCAAAGCAAGCAGGAGCGCTGCTCCCCCGACATGTGCAATCATTTGTGATTTCATTTCTGCTTTCCTTCAGCACAGTAGGTGACAAGAAAAATCAGTCTCTCTTAGTGTACAGCAAAGAATATGCAATTTCAGCTTAGTGCTTTCCGTCAACATAGCAGTCAATCAGGTCTCATTTAAAGGAGAGTAGCAGGGTCAGTGCAGCAGCCTGGCAGAAAACACTTGGCAGCTTCTTCGCATACCTGTCAGCAGATGCGGGGGACTCAGCAGCATAAGCTTGACCTGCCTCGCCTAGCGTATAATGTTGCACTTTAGCAAGTGGTTTTGCTTTCTCTAATTCAGCTGGATTTCTTTATAAACAGTTAGGAAAGAATTTAAGCAGTGCTGCTTGGTGTGACATTTTAACTGTGTTTACAATCTGGAGTTGCAAGCGAGAGACCATATGCTGGTTTCCTAGCAGGAGAAAAGTAGCCTGATGTTTGTATGGTAGCTCTTAGCTTTATTGATCTAGCATGGGGTTTTTTTGCTGAAGATTTTTATGTCTAAAAGACTTTAAATCCATTTGGTGACAGCTATCATCTATTCTAAGGCAAGGGAGGTTAACCCGGATTTCTAGACCTATCAGCTGTAAATTTTGGGATAGTATTAGTAGCGTATGCTAGATTAACTGGGCTTTTTTTACCCTCCATAGCTTTGCCCCACTTTCCCCTTTGAAAGGTTATCTTTCTTTTCAAGTAGTAGTTCCTTGTTCTTCTGCATTTGCTTCAAGACAATACAGTATGCTTTAGTTGGAAAGCAATAATGTGTGATTGTATTCCATATTAAGAAGACACTGATAGGTTGCTGTACGAATAGCATACATTATGATAACTCTACTTTTTTTTTTTGTTAGGAGATCTTCATTAAGAATGATAATCTAACCTATGAACAAGAGCTGAAAAATTAACCTAATGGATTTGCATTAAAATAACTGATAGCTTTTAATTAGACATTATAATTTAAAGCACAGCTATTCCACCATAATAAAATACTTCAAAATATGTTGCAATTGGAAGAAATCTTTTTTATGATCTAGTAATCTTGTTGACGGAAAAACAATGTATTATTACTCTTTTGGGTCAAGGGCAAAAGTACTGAAATACTAAACACAGTAATAGTGTTGCTTTACGTAAGGTTGGAGGGTGGTTTCATTTGAAATATATCCTGCCAGAAGAAATCCCTCAAGAATCTGTTTCGTTAGAGAAAATGTAATTTTACTATATTGAAGTAATAATTAATTGAATATTTTGTTTTGCTCTGTAAAAAGACTGGAATGCACTTTTGGGCTAATCCTCATACTCACGGTCTTGCCATGTTAACATAATCATAATGTTATGTGGAAATGATACCTTTTCTAAAATACACATAAATTCATGAAATTTTATTGACCTACATTTAAAATCAAACTGGGCTTTTGTTTGGGTTCTGGCCATCAGAAGTAACTATATGGCACCGTGGTTCAAAATGTAGTTGTGTTGTTCACAAGTAAATTAAAAATGTATTTTCACATATTTGTTCCACTTCAGAATTGTAAGGTTTTGTATTGTAGCCAAATATACAATTAAATTTTTTTCATATTCCAAATATATCCCCCTCCAGTAGCTTAAGAAAAAAC